TTCCTTTCCACCCTGGAAACATACTTCATACCATTAAGAACCTCATGAAGTATGCAGTTCTGATATGTTCTTAATGGTTCTTACGGCTTGGGATGGTTTGGGAGACTGGCTGATGTTGGAAGCGATGCTTGCATGAAGCCCATGGCGCCACGTGTCTAATATGATCGAATTAACGTTACTCGCCACAAATATCTATCTCATACTCATCTCATACTCATACATGTTTTCAACCTATAGAGGCCAGCCAGTCATCTGCGATACATGGCCAGCATGGTGGCCACCCATCACCAGTCACTATCCATGGCTTCACTGCGGCTTCACCACGGCGAAGCTCCGCTCGGCGAAGCTCTCGGCCTCTTGCTTCTTCTGCTTTCGCGCCAGCTCGATCCCCATCCATCCTCAGAAACCGTGGGCAGCTCAGGATCACACCTTAATGTAGACTGATTCATAAACCCACTCACTTGAATGCACTCACTTGAATTGGACATCCTAGCTTCATATGGAGGGGGTTATGAATCAAGTCATGCATTTAATTGGCACTTATGTGGCATGAGTTGGATGAATCGCCGTGGATGGTGGATGGCCCGGGTGCCATCCGCGTAACCATGATTGTTTCAGAAAGTGTCAAGCCCGTAAGCAATAATAAGAATGCCTGGCGAGGATCCCAAGTCAGAAACCTCCCCCTATAGACTTGCAGAAATTCCCTGTCCATGAGGCATCCCCATCCCGAAAATGCACTCAGGTTGTTTCACAGTTGAGTCAATCAAACTGGCTCAGCAGGAACAACTTAAAACTGGGGGTTGGGGGGTCCAGTCAAGGCACCTTCATCATGCTTCATCATCCTTAAGTTTTAAAAACCGGAGCGGCTTCTGCACGCCGAATCTGGAATCTTCCATGGCAATGGCTGGGTGGAGAAATCGGACATATTGGACCGTCAAGTGTGTGAGAGTTCAAGACCCCAGCTCCAGACCCTCAATCCACAATCACTTATCATACTCTGCCCAGCCACATCCACCGTTTGCCAAATGCACTCTTAAACCATATTCACCTAGTGATCTAGTTCGCCTTATGGCTTTATGGGACTTCTCGAAAGCCGCCTTGCCACAGACAGACGGTGATATTCTCCGAGCGGCGCAGGTTCTCCACCTTCAGGATGCCTTGCTGCTGGTCTTGCAAGGCATCAAAGACCTGGGCGTCAGACACCTTTCTCTTCGGGCAACTCGTGAGGAGATCCCCCAGGTGAGGAGATCCCCCCAAGTAAACAGGCTTGGGTTGTGGGATGTGGTGGGGTTGTGGGTCTCCAGCTTTGTTGGTTGGGGAGGGTCCAGGGTGAAGGCTCCAACAACTGCAAGGTGAGAGGTCTAGTGAGAGATAGTGAGAGTCTCACCTGCCCTGGTGTGCTGACCTGACTCACACCCTGTCTGACCGGCTTCACCCAAATACATTCACACGACGCCAACTTGTCAATCACCACTTACAGCGATGTTTTCCGCCTGAATGGCACCAACCTCTATAAGTGTTGCGAGTTTTGGCTGGAGAGTTAGCCCTGTGAATGGAGGGTTAGGCCTCGTCCTTTCTGCGCTCTACAGAAATACTCCAGAGTCAATCGGCTTGACTCCTATGACACTCAAATTGCACTCACACCCGCAAACTCTGAACTCCTCTCACTCGCTTCTCCCCGCGGAATTCGATGTCGACCCTCCTTCCCCATCAAATCCTCCCATGATTTCTTCGTGTCAAAAACGTGAAAAGACGCGACAAAACGCGACAAGCTGACAAGCTGACAGCAGTTCCAGGGTGTTTCCTATGTCTTACGCAACGAAGCATTCTCATGACATCTTTATGACCAAACCCACTATATAAGCTCATCTTGAGTTGGAAACCATCACTCATTAGCTTGGAACGAAGCTCTCTCTTCCATTCTGAGTTAACATGAAAGCACGGAGCTTGAGCTCTGCCAATCCGTTCCGTGGGTTCCTTCCGCCACTCCGTCCACGGCGCGGCGCGTGCAGATCGCCCAAGAGGCCCAGTTCAGATCGCCCACGCCCCAGGTCCAACCGCACTTGCGTAGTCCGATGCCTCGATGCGGAGGGCCACCCAGCGTCGTTCGGTGCCGGGTCTGAGGCGCCGACTGGTGCCAGGTCTGACCGCGCCGTGATGATCAGTCCGCTGGGGGGTGTAAGCTTGGGTGGAAGGCGACGTGGCAATGGATTTCATTGGATTCTAGGTGTCGATGTTGGAAGATTTGGGGGTGACTAGGTCAGACGTGCAGGTAGACTTGCAAAGCTGAGGACTTTGGACTTCTTTATGCATGAGTCACAAGTCATATCGTCCCAAGTCCGGGCAGATTGAGAGTAGAATGAACATGTTACCTGGAATGGGCAGTGGTACGTGTTCGTGTTTGGGGAGGAGCTCATGGTGAAGAGGAGCTGTTTGGGTCCTCGGTCCTCGTATACCGGTGTTTCCTGCACCAGGCCATAGCTGGCAGGGAAACTGCACCAGGCCACGTATCTTCTCATGTTGGCCAACATGGCCAATTCGCTCAATTCGCTCGGCCAACAAGGCCAACATGACTAGAAAACATGGAGTGAATTCCATCAATTCAATTCGCTGGCTCTTCTCAATTCGCTGTCTTCCTCATGCCCAAGTTTCAGAGTCTCGGGCACCCCTCAGTTCCAGGCAGAAGTCCTCTCTGGACAGTTGGTCCTGGCAAAAGACAACGTTTCAAGAGCACAACGTCATACAAAATCACAAAACACAGAAGCGAAGAAGACTTTGAACACTCGAGCCACCCTCTGGCGGAACCAAAAGCCAAACATAGACTCCAGACTTCGACCCAGACTACCCAGTTCTGTTCCAAGAAGAAGCCTCCCGGTCCCATCTGCCGGTTTTCCTGCCTTGACCTCGCCGGACCGCTGTTCACCGGTGCTCGCTGCAACACCAGATCCGCCCCCGCGTTCACTCGGCACCCGGCCGTTCCTTCCGTCCCGCGCGGCCTTCCGCGCGCGCACTGCGGACCGTCGCTTCGTCGCCGCTTCGTCGGGGCCTTGGCCTCCCGGAGGCGGCGGCCCTTCTCGAGGTCCGCCGCATCAGAGCAGCGCCTCGGAGCGATCCGCGGAGTCGAGAGCGAGCGGGTCGGTGTGCGGCGACCGGGGGGGGGGGTTGGAAGTGTTTGGAGGTCATGTGAAGGGCTCATCCTGGACATGGATTGAAAGGGGTTTGTTGGAAAAAGAAACAATGCATGTGCTTTTTCTCCAATCCCCCAAAACAAGGAACACATGCAGTAAGTGCTCAAGAAGTGGAACTGTCTTTGACGGTTTTGATAGCAAAAATACACCAAACAACAATGCTGGAATGAGATTCCGGCTTCTCAGATTTTGCCAGAATCACCGGCAGTGTGTGAAACACGTGTCGTGCAACACTCAACGTCACAGGCAATACTGAGACCTTTGAGCATTCCAAAGGTGACGTCACATGAGGTCCAAAGGTTCGTCCCCGTGCGACACCGGCCACGGCAGTGGCCACGGCTTGCATCACTAGGTTGGAGGCCATCGCAACAAGGAAAAGGAGGCCATTAAGTGGATGGGCTGGCTTCTGAAGACCACACTGCGAGTGCCTTCCCATGATATCATGTGTTGGAGGGAGGCTAGTCATCACTGGACTGGAACTTCGAGGATCTCCGAGGCCTGCGAGCTGCAAACTCTTCAGGTACATTCGATCCATTGATATCCAAAAGTGAAGGCAACCCCGCACACTCCAAAACCGTCCAAAACCGTCCGGCTTTTTCACCATCCAAACCACCTTGTGAAAACCATCCGATCTTTTCCATGGTCTTGCAGAGAGGTTCCTTCCCTCCTTCACTCCTTCATCTTCGCTCAAACCCTTCACATCGCCTCACGATTTTTCCCGCGGCGGTGATTTTTGGGCGATGGCCAGACCCACGCGCGGGTGTGCAAGATTCTGTCTGAACCACAATGGGTGCATGAAGAGGAGAAGTGACAAGGTTTCCAACATTTCCTGGTGCCACCTCAGCATCATTCTGGCCACAACCGCTTTAAAAAATCTGGAAAAACGTTGGCAAAATTGCTGGTTTTTGCAGTGTTATCTGTTCCACTGCGCTTCCTGGGCTGCCAGTGGAACATGAAAAGGGCCATGCGATAAACCTTGAGCTGAATGAGGCCAATGACAAGCTGGCTCCGAATCGACGTTGAGTCTTTCAATAACAATTATGTTGGATTGATATTGGATTGGTATATACAAGGTGCCCCCCCACTTCGTGATTCAGGACCTTTCGTGACAGGGTTTTAATGATCTGAGGGGGATGGTGGAGGAAAACAGGTTCAGCCATCAGTGGCACGAGCGTCCATAAACTGCTCAATTTAGCTCTGTGCACCAGTCGGCAGAGTTTCGCACAAAAAAAGGCCAAGAGCGATCTAGAAAGAAACCTGGCGTAGGTGGCGTAGAGGTTGATCATTGGCTCCTGCTTAGGTAGCTTATATGGGTTTAAGGTTCGATCGACCTACGACTCCCAGTGGCCAAAAAGAACTTATCTTACCCGACTCCCGAGGGTCATGGACGTGAGGTATGAAGACTAAGTAGATTTGAAGGAAAACACGTTTGGATGTGTAAAACCTCTCTAGATGGGTGGGATGTGTGGATCTAAGAGTCTGCAATTAGAGATGGAATCTTCATGAAGAAAAAAAAGGCACCGCTTCTATCTTCGATTCAAGGGAAGGAACTTCTCTTGTGAATTGCATGTGTGAGATATGTATTTGGGCCATTTCAGCTCCGCTCTGCTTCTCAGTCACTGTCATGCTGCGTCTCTTCCTGCGTCTGGTCCGGTTCGGCGGCGAGGTGTCTCTCGCACACGACAAGGAGTCCAAGGGTGTCACAGGATATCCACTGGAGTAGGTGCCTTTTCTTTCTCCCATGGATTTCCATCCCAGCCCAGCTCTCTTCTCTCACTTCCGCCGTGGAAACCGCCCAAAGAGCACCGTCCTTCACTTCTTGCGCCCGAAGAGCACCGCGAAAGGGAAGGCGACACAGAACATCCCCGCCACTGCATTGCCTTAGAGAGTTGCAGATAATAAACCTAAAAGAACATGTAACATGGAAAGCCATGGAAAGCCTACACTGCGACATAATTACTGATACCATCTGATACCCATCCTGATGGACGAACCAATTCTGCACAATCGAGGACCTGCTTCGGAGCCCATTCTGGTCCATTGATGTCCGCACCAGGCACCAGATGACACCCCGCCCTGGAAAAAAAATAAAGAACAATAATATAATTATAATATATGAAATAACGCCCACTTTTTGGGGGGCGGAGTTCACCTGGAGCTCACACGCCATGTCATTTTTTGGTGCGATTTCAAGTGGCCCAAGGTCACCGGCAGCAGGTTCTTCAGAAAAAACGTGCTCCAGCTCACCGGAGCTCCTGCGAAGATGCCCGCTGGGATGATGAACCTGAAACTTCAAGAGTCCGACGGAAGACGCGCGCGCTCCGCAGTCCGACACCATGCGCGGCACCCGAACGAAGACATGGAGACGCACGCGGAAGACGTAGCGTCCACCGCTGCGGACGCGAAGGGATCACCGCTGCGCAGGAAAACCTCCGGATTCAACAGCGCCTTGGAACAACAGCGCCGTTTTCTTTTCGAGGATGGGTCAGCTATGGTCAGCTTGACAAGGCGGTGACCGGTGTTCAGGCGCACAGTCCCGGTGACGGGGCGTAGTGTAACATGGTTCAATATGTTTCATATACCAGGACCCGACTCTACAGGTCACCAATTGAGACCTGTTAGGGTCCAACAACCCTCAACTAACAGCCTGGCCAGGAGGGTGCTGGTACATAGATGTTTCGTACTGCCGCCTGCAAAGACGATCACGTAACACAGAGACTTTAAAGAGAAAGAATTGAACGGTTGGTCATTGGGCCATTGGGTAAAGAAACATGATCTGTCCAATCACATGCGGCAGTTTCCATGATTGCTTCTCTGGGGGCAGAATGGAGGAGAGCTTGTTTCTGAGCCCAGCTCATTGAGCTTACTAGCACAGCGTCACAGCGTTTGCATTTCGAAGACCCGCTACCCCATCCAAGAGCGCATCTGTACAGTAGGGCTTGTGTCTGTTGGGCGGCTTGCAACGGCTTGCAGGGCAAATCAAGGTGTTTTCCAAATAAGTTGTGTTCAGAAACCCCATGGTCGTGCCCGCATATCATTCCCATCGCAAGTCACATGTTGGCCACAGAATGCTCCAATCCTCAGCTTTTTGCAGATCAAAGGATTGAATGAGAACATGAAGAAAGAATGTCATCCAAAGCAGTAAAAATAGAAGAGGGGTCACTCGAGACACATGAAACAAGTTATGCAACACGTGTCAATTGTCTCTTATAGAACACGAGCGTTTCTCGAATCAACGCTGCTTTCTTCTGCGGTGGCTTCCAACAGGTGGCGGCATTGGGGGAGAATGGCCCATTTCTCCAACAAAAGGGATACCATGTCCCAAGGAATTCGGAGAAACCACCGAAACAACCGCACCAGCACAGACTGCCAGACCTCTGTTGACATCCCGCACCGCAGTGATCCGCCCCGCCCAGCCATGTCGAGGACGAAGAAGTCGTCCCCAAACAAAGGACAGCTCGATTGATCTCTTCCATGTTTTTAACGTTCATTTCTGATGCAGTCAAGTGCTTCATCTTCCATGTCTACCATCTCCATCACACATCGCAGTGATTTTTTCTGGCACATTGCACATCTATACTCACATCTATATCTGCTAGGGCTCCCAAGGTCACAAACGCCGAGATGGGCAACCAAATGGCCACCGCCTTCCCCGTGGCGTCTTTCGCCATCGAGGCCAAGTAGACCGCCATGCACACCAGCCAGTTGCAGAGCAAGCCACGCCTCGGTGTGGCGGGCGGTGTCCGCCACGGTGTCCTCCGTCCCGTCTCCTCTTGAGCTTCAAATGGTGGGCGCCACGGACTATTCCTCAACCTCTTATTGGGAGGCGCAACATCTACTGTGAAGACGATGTTTATTCTGTGTTTGTAATTGTTTGTGCTATGTAGATTTACTGTAAGAGTCCATAATCGCATTGTACGGACTATTCCCTCGTACCTCCCCCGCCCTACAACGTGGTGGGAGGATCGATCGAACATGCCGAGCAGCACGAAGGCCGTCTCAAAACTCAAGGAGGTCTTGGCCTTGGCCAAGGTCACCGCGGCGCCACCACCGGGCATGGTGCCGGCCAAGATCCTCGGCGGACTGGATCATGGAAGCCATGATGTTCGTCCAGAAATGGACATCATGAGGAGGACATGACTTGTCGGACATGATGAACATAGGGCCTATGATGTCCCTATGAATCTAGGAGGACATTTCGGCCTATTTCTTCATAATGGACATCATAAGTGCCCTCAGTATGCGTGGGTGTTCCATGACTTCGCCTTGAAGTTCGAAGTGCAGATGGACATTGGAAGCCATGTTCGTCCGGTAGAAAAACGCCTTTTGGTTCGATGATGAACATGGCGTTGGAATGCGAAACATGCGTGCGAAGTCCCTGGAACAAGGGTCCGTGGAACTGGTCGTCTGGTCTTTCAGATGTCTTGTGGTCACGGTCTCCCTCGCCCATCCTCGCACCCTCCAAAGTCGATCGTTCATCAGCACCCCTTTAGGATCGATCCTGGTTCCAAGGATCGCCAGGCGCGCCAGCAGCATGGCACCCACCAAGTTGCCCAGCCAGGAGAGGAGCAACGATTTGGCCAAGTGAGGCGCTTGCACCTGCGCTTGGGAGGTTCTGCCCCCCCCGGTGGACGTCCTACGAAAGTACCAGCGACATCAACAGCTATACGGTACTACACCATGCTACACCACTTCCTCCACTTGTATCAGCAGTGAGACCCCAAAAAATGAAAACCCCAAAAACGACCCAAAAAAGCAGCACCCCTCCCACCCCAGGACCCAGGCAGAAACCACTGCCCCAGCAAAACCAGGTCGTTCCCACCCCGTTTGACACCTCACGACCCACCGTAACGCGTCGCGGTCGCCTTGCCCTGCAGCAAGGCCATGGAGACGATGGCCGCGTTGCCGGTGAAGAGCTCCGATCCGCTGAGGAGCGTCATGAAGAGCCCGAACCTGGGAGGTGGCGCTGCAAGGCGAGGCGGCGGAGATGGCAGGTGTTCCGGTGGATGGAAGGTGGGATGGATGTGGAGCTTAGGGAAAGGATGGAAAAGGTTAGGAGGATGGAGGCTTGGCAACTCCAGGGCTTGTTTTTGGGCAGATCTTTCTGATAATTGGTGGAAGGTGGATTGTCTTCTGCCCAAGGAACGGCAAGCCAAACGCCCCGAAGATCATCTTCTGCACACCTGGGTTGCTCTCCTCAGCCAGCCAGTGCTATGTCGAACCCGGTGTTTGATGTGTTTTTGCCACAAACTGAGCTATGAAGACCTCAGGTCGAAGGGGCTGTGTGATCTGAATGCAATATCGAAGATTCTGCAGCTTCAAAATGTCACCACGGGTGTTGTGCCACTGCCTGTGACATTGCAGCTGCTTCATAATCCTCACATGTCAAACTTCTATGAAAGGCAAGAGGCCCATACCCCACATCAGATGGAGTGATTCCATGGAAAATGTCTTGCCTGCCAGGTCTCCAACAGTCCAGGGCAGGCACCCCCCACAGTACAGGCCAAATAAGCGCCATAGCCAATGAAGGCACCACCCAGGATGCTGGAGCAGAAGATCTTCTCCGGGGTCAGGTTCGCCTGCGTCCAGAGGTCTTACATGGGAGTGTGGGGGCCAAGAAGCGAGGAAAGTACACCTCCAAACGTCAAGGAGGTGGAACATATCCCCCCCCTTTGCAACCGAGCGCGGTCTTTGATGTGCTCAGTGGCACATCACAGACCATTTCTTAAGTTCATTCTGTGTCTGAGGAGTGTTCTTTCAAAGGGGTTACGTCGTTACGCTCCCTGAAATGGTCATGGAGGTGGAATATGGTCACCTACATGACAACTTTCCTCTACAAACAAATGGTTTTCCACTTCCATGTTAGTCAATCGGAGTGTACATAAGTTTAGGGCAGAATCAAACGGAAACAACTCTGAACATGTGTGAGCTGATGCGTTGTCTGGGCGAAGACCAAGGCAATTATGTTCATGCCAAAACGTTTTTGTGTGTGGTTTCAATGCACTTGTTACACTTGTTTTGAGTTCAAGGGGGATTCCTCCCCAACAAAGCAACCACCTACTTGCCCTCTGCCTCTATCCAACGCTCATAGCCTGGCCCCTCATTATATACAAAAAACAAGAAGGTTCCTGTGCAAAGAGGTGCTTGTCCGCTTCATCAACAGTTCCATCAAAAGCGCCTTTCCATCACCATGATTGCACGAAGCATCACGTCGGTCGGTGTCGCCTTCGCTGTCCCGGCCGCGACGGCTCCTTCAAAGCCCTCAGGGGGCGCCAGCAGCGGAGGTACAGCGGACATGGGAATTCGTCGGATCTCAGCAGGCAAAGGCCAAAGGGTGATCGTTGATCGTTGCGCCGTGTTGCGCGGTGTACTCGTACCACGCGGCATTGGTTTGGGTTTTGGGGTTTTCTGATGGGCGGATTATTGGGAATGGTGAATTAATCATTGAACAAGTGTGTTTCATTCTTGTGTTTCTATATGGCTTCTGTGTTGTTGGTCTTCCTTGAGTCTCGTCAAGGCAGCTAGGTCGACGAGTGTGGTTGCGGCGAGTGCCATATCTGAAGGTCTCATAATCAAGAATGCCAGGAATGTGCCAAACAGCTGTCGTGTTCTTGACACACTCGAAGCAAAACAGCTGCAGCGAAAGCCACAAGGCATTCAGTGATTTGTCTTGCCAGCTGTATCACAACATCACACTACACTTGCCAATGGACTTCGAAGTGCCAAGGGCATCCAAATGGGTTTTAATGCTCACTCCAACCAGGGATGCCTGAAGATAACCCCTGGCGAGATTTCTAGAACCGGTGCACCCTCTCTTTCTCTATCTTTATCTCCACCGCTTCCGGATCGAAAGCCCCTCTGCTTCAGTGCGTTTCAACACTCAGGGCGCTTCGGTGGCCTAGTGATGTTCACCACCGACCGAACGACGCCCATGCTATGCCGTTCACCAAGTCACATGAAAAGCTCCTGGAGCGGCGGTAGGGCGCGGCGGGACCAAATGGAAAGCAAGCTGCTTGAGTCAATCTGGTTTTCCATTGTAGAACCTTTTCGTATATTATAATCAAGAGTCTACCTTATCAGCTTGGGTGTTGGGTCCAGTCTTCTTTCCCCTTGCTACTGCCCGCGCAGGATGAATCCTGCAGAGGGGCCACCAGGCTTCCAACCTGACGCTTTCGTCCGCCCCGCGTTCGCCGCGTCCGCCGCGGCAAGCGGCCGCGGCGAAAGCGCTTTCGCGCCGCTCCTCTTCGCTGCGGAAGCGGCTCCCCACGAAGAGGCGGAAATTGCGCCAGATGGTCGCCTGCTTCACGTCCACCTCGTCCTGAGAGGCCACGCCATGCGGGCAGCCGGTTTCGAGCCGAAGCCCAAAAGCGCGAGGCGAGCCGTGAGCGAAGGGGGACGTGTCTTTCAGAGTTGGACGGAGATCTGGAAGGAGTATGCATGTCCTATAGGGCCTATAGGATTCTATAGGGTCATTTAGTTGTGCCCAACTTCGTTGAACAGCTGACATCTGACAGATCCTTCAGAAATGAGTTGGAAACCCAAACCTTCCTCTCCGTGCGCCATCTCTTCAGTGTCCCATCTCTTCAGTGGTAGTCAAAGATGTTCCGTCCAAAACTGGTCTTCCGCGAGAATGAATCCTATCCCTACAAGTCAAAGACCTCATTGTACTGGAGATGGTCATACAAAACCAATACTTAAGGAGGTAAACAACCAGGTTTTACTGGGTCTTTGGACTTGTAGGGTATTCTTGGGAACGCAGAGTCAGAGTGTGCCACTGCCTTGTCTCATAGCCACGCCGCCACCTTTCAAAGAAACACCTTTCGAATTGGGCACCACTCACAACTCTGCCCCGTCAGTCCAAGTGTCCAAAGTGAGCTCGTTGGAATCATCCTCAGCCGCACCAAAAAGCTCGGGCTCGGACACCCGCACGTGTCCGCGTGTATCGGCCTGCTATCTCATTTGGAGGGCTGAGAGGAGCTCCGAGAGCCATGATTAGACTACACCTGGAATCGTCATTGAGTCCTCTAATTACCAACCAGTGGTTTTCAGAGTTGAAGTTAGTCTTGTTAGTCTTAAGGGGAATTAATGTGCAATTATGCCGGAATGATGATGCCCCAAGCTCTTCACAGCTCCCCGCACACCACCTGCCTTGCTAAAGTTTGGACGTTGCTTGCTTTGATCATCCCCAAGCCAGTTCCTGTCTCCTTTGCCCACTCTCAGGACCAAAATGGTTGCGACACTTCTGAACAATCATCAAAAAAGGACGAGGACTTCTGAGGACTTCTGATCAGACATGATCAAACACATCTTCGGGGCCGGGGGCTACAGTCGGCTAGGCTGGGTGGTCCAGAAAAAAACCGTGCGGCTTCACTCGTGTTCACTCCCAACAGGGAGAACCTCCTTGACCTCAGCGATACGGTTGAAATACCAAACAACAGGTGTGTTGAATCGTTTAGACTTGAGTGACTTGCCCGGCGTCCCAAAAAAAAACATTCCTTTCGGCTTCCCACCGAACCCCACAGGCCACCTTCAGAAGTCATACACCCGTCGACGTGTGCTTTCAGGTCCTACTCCCGTCTTTCCCAATGGGATGGTTGTCTGAAGTATACTCCCGTCTACATGACTCCCCCGGTCGTTGTGTGCTTTCCAGCCCAAGGCACATCGTCCAGCACAGAGAAAAGACTGAAGACATCTCCCTTGTAGCCCAACTCCCGGAGACCTGCGACGAAGAGGAACGAAGAGACTGCGACTGGAGACGGGACGCCGAACGACTGCGCCGCGCCGCACTTTGCATCGTTTTGGGCCCATCATGCGCAATCCCCAAGGTGCTATAAACTCTATAAGGCTCTGGTGTGTGAAATATACTCAACCCCCCAAAGCAACGAACAGAATCATTGATCATCCTGAATCCACTCATAAGAACTCGAAGGTTTGTTCGTACTGAAGCCCTCAAGCCAAACATAACCAAACGAATTATCTTCAATCTACATCATCTACCCATCGACCAAAGGCTTCTTCAGGGACCATTCAGCCAAGGGGACCATTCAGACTCCGTTTCCAAAGCCACCGTCTGAACCTCTGGAGGTGCACCGCTGAACCGAGCCATACGTGGAACGAAGCCTTTGCTGAACTCAGCTTTGCTGATCCGATGATCCTCGGTGCCGCGACATGTGGCACGCCCTTGGTCATGGTCAGCTGGAGATGCCCACTGAGGCCTTATAAACAGAAAGAGTCTGAATCCTTGAGACATGTTTTTCAAGATGTGTTCGATCTCATCTGCTGAAGGGACACTTTTCTGCAGGGGTTCTTTTCGACCAACATGAGACACATGAACAGTTTTGACTCCCCACGGAGATCGATTTAAAAAATTGAGTAGATCTAGGCCGTTGGGCCTTCGTAGTGCATCGGATGAGTCCAAGAATGAACCAATCCTTAATCTGCATCACATGACGTGGTTTAAGGACAAAACAGCTGTGCCAGGGAACATGCTACAGTCTAACTTTATACAAGTAATGGTTCTGTTTCAGTTCCCCGCGCCATTGAATACAGTGGATGGCTGTAATACATGCCTTCAGACTCATTGACAAACAGTCATATGTCGTATGGAGAATGTATGGAGCATCAATCATCAGCCTCGCACCCAACTCCGCTCCCCCACTACGCCAGTCACTCCGCTGCCCCACCGGACCTTCCCCAAACATCCCAGCGGCCATGTCCTGGTCGAAGAACTCGATCCAGGCGCGCAACACGGAACCTGCGAGACGGGCCAGTGGTGCGGGACCCCGCCCCGGTGGTGCGGCCGATTGACCAGGGGACGACGGGGGGGACGACGGGTGTTTCCGGTGAACGAAGCGGCGCTTTGTGGGGGGGGGCCTTGGTTTCGCCAGCCATATGGCACCTGCGAAGTGGTTGAGGGATTCTTCTGGATCAGCTCCGGAGAAAAAAGGATCACGTTTCTTTTTAGGGGTGAAGTTTGAGGCAGTGGGAGAGCACCCGCCCCTCAGACGCTGCAGCTCAAGGTAGACTGACGGCGCCCGGGAAAAACACACGACGAGTCCGGCGGCCTGTTGAGGAGATCATGAAATGCCGCAAGTGTTCCATGGCTTTCGCCGGGTCGTTGCCATACTCATTGCGCGACGCCCGCGTGGACGTCCCCCTGAGGTGGAGCAGTGCATGGGACCTACATGGGACCGTCCTGTGTGCGGATGTGCGGAGCAGGGAGAACCAGCCTGCACCTTCTCTAGTGGCTGGTTGAGTCCTCTTGGATGGTGATGAACATGCAACGTTAACGGCTTCTTGGCGACTTTCGGGTGGGACGGCGTGAACGAACTGACGAACATGGTCAAACATGGGGATTTTGGGGTGTTGAAACACCTTCTTAGCCCTGCAACGTCCGGTGGAACATGCCCCCGCAAGATGCCGGCCCCCCCTGATTGCATCTCAAAAGACCTCAGAATTGCAATTAAAAAACAAACCCAGATTGCGCTTCAATGTTGTCATACGTCACCAGCATTATTACTAAAAAATATAAATATATTATAAAGTGATTATATGGTGGTTGCATATGCCTACACATCTTGTATGTTTTTGTTTCGAGAACTTCGAGACAAAACAATTACACGTCTTGCATCATGCCATTGCCCTCCCCTCACTGGCCGCCGAAAACGTCCTCAAACCCTCAGTGCCCGGGCGGGTGAGCGGGTCGCCAATTGGAAAACCTCGCCGGTCGGGACTAGAAAGACTGGGTCGATCTGGATGCGAAACACCATGAAGCCGAAGGAAGAGCAGTTCGGAAAACCTGTGCCGCTCCCCGAACAAAGCGGCGAAGATCGAAATGACTGGCACCATATTCTTGAAATGCATCTCTTGCTGCATAGATTCACTGGGGGGTGAACTGGTCTCTACACGTTTATTCTCACAAAAAGCCAAGTTCAGTTCAAGCCCGATTTCGGGGTGAAAACCGTTCAAACGTTGCAAATTCCCAGTCGGTTGCACTCCACCAACTCCACCCTCGGCCTCCTCATTCAACCGGAGCTCGCCATGGAGACGCAGCTGCCTGCGCCGAAGATGAAACTGTGACCGGATCGCGCGGATCTCGGTGGAGCTGATGGATGGCAGTTGACTGGACAGCTGACATGGCCAGGTTCAGGTCAAGACTTGAAACGGGAAAAGGCTGGATGTTGTTCACCTGGCTGAGAGAGAGGTTTCGATCCATTCACAGCGCCCAGAAACTGCTGGTCCAACCACGACCAACACAATGGTACGTTGCCGATCGTTGCCGCCCCGGTTGCGAAAGGTGTTCGGGCCATGTCCAGAAAGGTCTTGTGCTCTGTCATGCCAGCAGCAGGCAATATGGGCTGTGATATGCTTAATGCAAAGCATTGTAAAACCACAGCTGGAAGGCGGAAACCAGGACCGCGGTTACCATGCGCTTCTTTCAGAGGAACTATGCTGACACTAGATGACTGTGTGAAGGAGGAAGTTACACGTGTTTCAATGATTTGGAGCTTATGGAATTTCAACACCACTGACGTGCCTGTGCATGTCTTCCAAAAAGAGGCTGTGCAATGGTGAATTACGTCTTGGGATGAGTAGGAAGACCACACCCTCCACTCACGGGCACAGTGACGAACACCCTCCTGACCGGTTCCCCCTGCTGAGTCGCCCCACGACGACCGTCGCGCGCCCGGTCCTCCGCCCCGCGAACGCCCGGCGTCTGAGACGGTCTGCGGCGACGGTCCGACGTCTGAGGTCTGAGGCGCCAGAATGGTGGACCACCCAGAAGGCAAAGAGAAAAAGGTCGTTCCACGGTGACTGTCACGGTTACTGCAGCTAACATGTAAATAGCTCTTGGTGTAGCACTCTCCACGTATAAGTCTAGCAGCTTATAGCTCCAGAAGGGCGCGTGGTCCATGCACGTGTGCACCGGAGCGCACCCGGCAATATGCGGGACCGCACGGCGAGCGTTGACGGAGTGGCATTCGAATTGGTATGCATATGTATGCCTGAGAGATCCTGAGATCTGAATCAGCGAGAAATATCGAACAAGTTGAATCAGTGATTCTCGTTCCACTTGTGCCGGGCATTCATCTGTCCATACTTGACCAGGCAGAGCCCAACCCTTTGTGAGGTGAGCCATGCGACTCCAAAACCACATGCCTCTGGCCCACTGCCCCAGGCCCAGCTCCTCCCTGACCCTCCCCCACGGCCAGCAGCTCAGCAAGAACCGCCACTTTTGGTCGCTTCGGCTTCAGATTGATCGCTGCCAGGGGGGCTGAGTGGACGCAACTTCGTACCATGGACAGTGTGGAGCTTGTACAGTTTTACCATCTCAATGGGAGGGTCTTTCTATGATGTTTCTTCATCCTAGAGGTCTACATTACACTCACCGTTCCTGCCCCCCTCCTTGCCCCCGACATGCTGGGCCATACTCCTCTTTCCGCCAACCCCAGGCACCCGTGGTGCCACAGCCCCGGCTGAGCACGGTCAAAACGGACCGATGGCGCAAGGTCAGCGGGGTCAGCGGGGTCAGTTTAAGCCGCGAAAAGGCGAGCGTGGCCCCGGAGCGGGAAGGGTGGGCAGAGACGTCTCCCGTTTCGGGAGGCTCTGTGAAATCCCGGTGCGGCAGGAGTCTGGGTGAAGAAGTGGAAGGAGAAAAACACAAGGTCAATCTGTTGCGGTCAACTGGAGTGCAAACCATTTTTGTCTGGAGGTTTAGAGGTGTCCATGGGCTGTCCATTAGCTCTCCCCTTATAGGTCCTGGTGTGAATAAATCAATCTTCAGTACTCACCACCACCATGCACACCCAGATTCACGAGATGCCGCCCATCTCGTCGTGCGACGAGGTGGTTTGTCTTCCGGACGCTCCAGTCGTGAAACGAAGCGAGGAGAGGCAGGTTGAAGACCACTCAAGACCGCTCACTCAATGACTCCAGGGACCAAATTACTGAGCGTTAAAAAAAGAAGCTCCATCCAAGTCTCCAAAGACATCATAGCCATAGCAGTTCCACCCAGTTTGAATGCACTCGTCTTCCTATTAATCCAGATTATTTGGTCCTTCATCCACCTGCCACACGACTCGCTCAAAGACTCGGCCCGTTGGCCTGTAGTACGGTGCTGGAACCATCAAACAGTGAATCCAAGGTATACGGAGTAGATCTATAAGGTATGAGATCTCCTATTACAACTTCTTTTGCTAGTCAAGGTATATAAGATCTCCTTTCATCTCGAGGAACAACTCAAACACCAATTTAGTCGTTGTCTTCCAGGTATATCTCGGCTGTTCTGCACACAAAGGGCTCTAAAACAACATGCCCGAACATACTCCTCCTCACCAAAAACGATGCCAAAAAACCGTCGACAGGCCGGCTGTGGTCTCTACTTCTGGCGCTGCTCACTTTCCCAAAGAGATGGTATGAGACAAGGATTCAGTGTAGGACCTTCGAACCCAACGGCGACGGCCCACGACGGCCGAGAAAGAAAGGTGGTTCGGTCAAGGGACTGGGCTGTCATGTGATGTGATTGACTGGGCTTGCACAGGTGGTGCACGACTGACCGCGTTGGCCAAGACCAGTCAGTCAGAGAAAAGATCTTGAAAAACCACCCCATAGCGGATAGCGTACCGGGTGCTGGCAGCATGGGGCGCATGGTGGCGGATGCTGGCAGCATTCACTTCTTGGGAGCCAAAAGCACGCCAAGCAAAATGAAGAAACAAACCCAGGAGTCACATGGAGGGCCTGGGTGGTGTGGTATGTCCCATCCAGGGGCCGTGGATGTGTGGTACAGGGCACCCCCCAACTCCACTCCTTCCTGCATGGAACTCCGCACCCCGGTGGCCACGTGACGGTTGGACGTGTGGCTATGTTTGATCGATCCTTTGGGCCACGGAGGGGCACGCATGCCCCACATGCCCCACATGGCCGTCCGGTTGGTGGTGTACCGCCCCCCTGGGCCGCCCGAGGCACTTGTCAAAGGTGGCGCCAATGACATTGGCGCCCTGCTTCCCTGGGAAGTGTCCACCTCAGCGCCAACGCACCGTTTTCGAGAGCCTTCCGATCCCACCCACGGTCCTCTGAAGGTGAAAAGGCTTGAAGTCTCTGTGCCGCCCAGGCTGTCGCCGAACCCGCGCGCGCGGTGTCTGTTGGGGGCTCCGGACTGAAGCCAGAGATCACCGGTGGCACGCCTTCCTGACGAAAGAAAGACTCCGATGATGCACTGATCCACGCCGCACCGAGTGCCAAGATGTGCCAAGTGCGAGCTGCGAGCAGTGCAGCTGTTGATGGAAGAATTTCTAGCACTACCCTGGGAACCTTTCAAGATACCCAAAGCACTTGCGAAAAAAGAAAGAGAGCAGTCATGTGTGAAATGGAGGGCAGTCCTCCATCTTGAAATGAGCTGCAGTCCCACAGCCAGTCTGCGCGGTGGTCTGGAAGAGGATGGGCCCTTGTCGCAGGCCATGCCCCTGGCGACCGAAGCGCTCCGTGCGTGAATCGTAGGCATCGTAGGCATCAGAATGCGATGGCTTTTACTCCAGTTCTTTTGGCGCCATGACCGTCACCTGGATGCCCGGCCACCCAGAACAGACACGCAGTAAAAGCTGCGGATGATCGTATACATAGGGACAACCCTCGGGCGTGAGGGGATTTCTTGGGGTGAGCATGTCCATTAAAATAGTAACTATATATTATATATACACATGTAAACATGTTAATAGTACACCCAGTAACATATATAACATATACATACAAAAGAATGGTAAAGTATGGAACCTCAAAACTCCTAGGCCTCGAGGCCTCTATAGTAACTGCAGAGCTACGAGACGATCCCATGAGAGGTCGTTTCACCACGACCGATCCATGGCGACCGGTACGGTAGAGAGCGGCCTTGGAGCCTGTGGTCGCAGACATGGTTGGATCCACCCTGAGACGGGACCGGCACGGGACGGGGCGGTCTCACGGGGTGCTGGCCTTAGCCTTAGGGCACGAAAGGTGAGCTGGTGTGGGGTGCAAGATGCTGCAAGGCACGCAGAAGTAGAAGTAACTGAAGATGCATTGACCATCATTGACCCAAGTTGGAAGTCCCTTGGTTTAAGTTTGCCGGA